GAATTTAACTTTCTGTTATGACTATAGGTTAGGAAAAGTGTACTGACTTTTATTTCATGAGATAATAATTCTGCTTCTTCATACACATCATTTATGATCATCAGCCTGTTATTTTTTTTCCCAAACAGCTCTCTTTTTAATTACATTTCATATTTTCTAACTGTTTAAAATTTTTATATAACCTTTTTTTAACAAGAAGTAAAGATGCACTGATTCCACAATATTCTGTAACATGTTCCACTTTAAGTGCTGAAAATAACCCCTCAATATATACTCTAAATATATTACCACTATATGTAGTAGGATTTATCACACCTAATTCTGACATGGAGGCATTTATTCAAATGAATCTTTACCTGCTCTTACCATCAGTAAAAGAAGTGACCCAGAAAGAAATTTGTTCTGTTTTAGACAACTGTCAGAAATTGTGATGTGTTGTTTTCCAAAGGGTTCCATCTATTGTGTCTATTGAATGTACAGAGAACCTGGACAGCTAACCCAGGCTGAACCTCTGACACTGGGTAAAACAAACCCCATAAAGAAGGACACAGGTTCTGTAGTAGAATAAAACATTAGTTTAAGTTTCCGAAGTTTATCAGGTCTGTGCTCTAGCGTGATATGAATTTGTTTTTCAAATTTGCATGCAGCATTGTGGTAGTGAACATTGTCTGTTTTATGGCCAATTCACTGTATGTCTTATATTAGGTGCAAGAGAAAAATATAGATAATCATGTATTAAGGTATCTGTATGTGTGTGCTCGCTGAAGAATATATGTTTGGTGTATTTTGTGCAATCATTTTTAAAAGTCTGGTAAATCATGTTGGTGATGACCAAAGATTAGGATTACTTGTTGTGCTTCAGATAATTTTTTTCTCATCTGTTTTTAAAATGCAGCAATTACATTTTTGTTAGACTTATTGTCATGTATGAACTGAAACAATATCTAATTTTACAGTGTTTTCTACCATAACCTCTCTGCTGACAACACTTAAACTGTACATATTTGTTAATTTGTAATGCATACTTGAGAGTTGTGTGTTTGTCTGGTATTGACTGAGGTCTGAGACTGATAAAGACAAGTGGTATTCAGTGAGTCTTTACTTTTGATATTTTTTTTTGCTTTCATGAAGGAGAAAAAGAGTATCAGGTACTACTTCATAGAAGAATGAAATAAAATGTTAGCCAGGGATTTCAGGTAGCTGGCCAGTCTGGAGTGAGTGCTACTGACTTAGAGTGAGAAAGTGCATGTACACATGCAGACATAGGTGGGCAAACATGTTTCTGTGTGGACACAGTTGGTCAACCACATAAGATGCTGTAGTTCACTTGTAAACAAAGTAATTTACATACTTTTTTCTGAGGAGCCCAGAACTGGATGCAGCAATCCAGGTGTGGCTTTACCAGTGCTGAGTAGAGAGAATCACCTCCCTCAACCTGTTGGCAGCCCTCTTCCTAATGCAGCCCAGGATACTGGTGGCCTTATTTACTACAAAGATACATTATTGACTCATGTTCAACTTGGTGTCCACCAGGACCCCAGGTCCTTTTCTGCAAAGCTGCTTTCCAGTTGTTCAGTCCCCAGCATATAGGGTTGTTCCTCCCCAGGGTGCATGGGGTTGTTCCTTCCCAGGTGAAGGACTTTGCACTTCCCCTTGTTGAACTTGGTAAGCTTTCTGTCAGCCAATTTTTCCAGCCTATTGAGGCCTCTCTGAATGACAGCATGACCCTCTGACGTACCAGTCACTCCTCACAGTTTTTTGTCATCAGAAAACTTGCTGAGAGTACACTGCCTCATCCAGATCATTAATGAAGATGTTAAACAGGATCAGACACAGTTTTCAACCCTTGGGTACACTGCTCATTATTGGCCTCCAACTGGACTTTGTGCTGCTTATCATTACCAACATGGGCCTGGTCATTCAGACAGTTTTCAGTCCACCTCACTGTCTGCTTATCCATCCCATATTTTTACTGGTTAAGGAAATCTACAAATTATCACCATTTTCTCCTTTGGCCACTCTAAAGTTTTTCATTCTGCTTATTTGACAGTAACTCTAAATAACCTGACACAGTCACATTTCATTAGAAGGTTCAAATGTAATTCTGTGCTTCACAGAAATTTTACATAAAAGTTTATAGTAATTAAATATGTCAGGATTCTAATATTTGTGGAGTATGTTATAATATACCACCAAAATAATTTTTTTTATAACCTTTATTTTGTTACCTTTGTTTGGTTTTAAAAGAGATATTCAATGCTTAAAGAAAGAGCCACAGAACTACTTTTGGCTGCAAGGGTTTCCATTTACATAACTTTTACACATTTTCCCTTTTCTTATGAAAATTCCTCATTTCCTCTTTGCATACTTAATTTCCACATTACATGTATTGCATTCCCCTCAAGGCCTGTTGCCTCCTATTTTTCTCTCTAATTATAAATGATCAATATGCTTTCTTTTTTTTTGTGTGTGTGTGTGTGTGTGTCTTGGGAGGTTTTCCTAATGGGATCATTTTAATCAGCACTATCTGTCTATAGAAAGATCTAGCTAGTGTTTAGATATCATTGAAAGGGCTCTGGCTCAACTGACTGATACTAACAATCACAGTTAATTAATTAATTTTAATTATTGAATTATATACCAAAGAGCTGCTAAGGTATAATCTGTTTAATGGTAGACTATTTAAAACCCAAAAATTTGCTAAGTAAGAATGCTTAAATACTGAAATGAATTTTCAGTATTGCTGATAATACCTCAATTACAGATTGTTGTTTTTATCATGATAATATTGGTATATTAATAATATTTAATGAAATGTATCACCACAGATGTCATACATTTTATTTCACTATCAGTCTTGAAATGTTGAAAGGTTGCAAAAATATCATTTTTCATAACTGAGCAGAATCTATCATATCTCTAGAATTTTAACAGATTGTGCACTTTTATGTGGTTTTCTTCTAACAATACAGTTAAAAAATAAGAACATACTTTCCAGATTGTTTTGTGGGACAAATTGCATGGTCTAGATTATAGTTCAGGCTAGGTTTTTGCTACTAGCACTCCTTTATATGAAAACTCCTTCATATGTGAGAAATCCTGTCAGGACCTTTTTCTACTTCTTTCCTCCTCCATACTTTGCTAATATGTGGAGTGTTTTCAGTAGATCAGTGATCCTTGCAAACTCAGCAAAAGGAAGAAATGTAATGGTTACACTAGGCAGTTTGGATGTTAATTTGAACTAGTAGTCAAAGTAGGTTTCCTTTAAGTATCTTGCTTTCAGCACTAGATATCAACATCTGAGTACATTAACTGAAATTTTTAATTACACTTAGCGTCATTGGTTATCATATTTATCTACTTATCTATACCACTTAGCAATTGATGTTAATTGCCTACTCAATTATATTTTCAGTCCCTTAAGTTTCTGGGTATTTACTCACAGTTTATTGTGCAACTGTAAAATATAACTGGGCAGAACAATAGCAGCCTGGTTATAGAGGGATAACTCTATAAATGTTAACAACATTTTAACAACTCAAATTTTTGAAGTCAACACTGTTGAGGTTAAAATGGTGGATCTTGCTTATTCTTTTTCAGGATATTGTTTTGTTATGATTCTTTCTGTCCTGACTCGACTAAGGCTAGAGGGGAACAACAGTTTTGGTGGTGGGTTGTTTATTTTTTCATTTGATACATTTCCTACTTCCAAACTTTTTCTTCATTGTTTTATTTATAGCTTATTCTACACTGACCCAATCCTGAAACAGTAAGATCAGTTCCAGGAGTAGACTACATGGCTCAAGCTCTGCCTTGTTTTTCCTCTTGTGCAAACCTTTTGAGACCTGGGCAGTTTGTATGTGGCTCAGGAGAAGCTTAATGCAGACTATTTGTATGTAAGTGTTTAGCATTGATTTCAGAAGATATCAGCTTTCCAGGAAAAAAGTAAAGGCCAATGGATTTCTTTCTTGGTTTTGTTTGGGTTTTTTTGTGTGTGTTGGTTTTTTTTTTTGGTGTTTGGTTGTTTTGGTTTGGGTTTTTTTTTTGGGGGGGGGAGGGGGTTGGGGGGGAGTTGTTGTGTGAGTGTGTTTGCTTTTTCTCCTGAAAATAACAAAAACAGTGCTGAACATTCATTTTATGCAGAAAAGGTGTGCAAGTGACAGTCTCCCAGACAAGACCAGTCTATTCTAAAGACTTCATCTTCTCTTGAAATACTTTATCCTCTTTCACTTTTCTGGTTTTGGACAGTGTCTTCAAACTGGGAAAAAAATTGTGAAATGATTATTTGTTTGTGGATAGCTATCTGTTGAAGTATAAGTCCAAGACCAAACTAATTTCATCTCTGTATTATGTCTGACTCTAAAAGCATGATACAAAGCATCTCAGACAGTAAATATAATAATGTTTATCTGATTGAAAATAGCACATGTATTAGACTTATTAGCTTGTCAGCAAAATGAATTCCATGGTAAATCCTTGTGATATTTATTCTAGGAAAACCAAATGGATGCTTCTGACAACTAAAGTTTTCCTCTTTGTCAGCAAGGACAGTAGAGTACTCATAAACACAGAATGAAGTTAAAATTTCTCTAGTTAAGTTGAGTGTTATAACCATACTGCGAAATGCAAAATAAGCAAAAGGATTATGAATGGTTCTGTAAATATATCCTCTTTCATTAGACTGATGTATTAAAATATCATATGGTTAGCTGTGTGATATTCTTACTTGCTAGTGTATGCAGAAATATTTTTGAACTCATTTTTCTGAAAGAGAGACAGAGAAAGGTAGGATTTCATAGCAGAAAAAAAAAGAACTTGATATGATAGTAACAATAATTGCTGCATTAATAATTAGTATGTTGTCATAATTTTGAAACATTTCTCATTTCCAAGAAATGTATGTACAATTATATCACTGAAGTACATTGTCAAATTTTAGCACATTGACATTATAACCAAGATATTGAACAAAACTAATTTTTTCTTTCTCAATTTTTAAGATCCAGATTTTAAGGACCTTGGTGTCTTGAAACCATTGCCAGGTTGGTATGTTGGCTTTTTTTTTTTTTTTTAAGTTGGAGACCTTTGCACTCTGCTGTAGAATATATTTTTTTTTGCTGTTCAGGTTTCATTTTTTCTGGTATTTTGTTATTCAGTTTGTGAGTTTGAGATGGGAGGACCTGAAGGAATTGTGGAATCTATACAAATTATCAAAGAAGGAAAAGCTTCTGAAACTGAAGCAGTAGACTGTAAATGGTACATCCGAGCACCACCTCGATCCAAGGTCAGTCCTTCATCCGCTTCCTGATTTGCCATTTAATTAAAGAAATTGACTTTTCTAATACGTTGTGCATTTCTTAGTACAGTCAGGTCTTGTTCAATAACTTTACAGCTTGAACTTGTAAATTATTTTTTCCTTCTGCTGTGGAAGGGTAATTTGTCACCTTAGCCAAAATAACCTTCTTTCTCTGTAAATAATGTTGTGGGCAACATTAATGTGGTTTTTGTGCCATAAGTTATTTTCTTAAATTCATCTTTAATTTTTCTCATATTTTTTTAAAGAATCAATGTCTTTTCTTAAGTGGGAGGTAATCTTATAACTTTGATTTTCAATATACCTAATATACTAAAATATCTAATATAGAGACTACTAAGGGAGTACTGCTGACTCCCTAAGGTCATAATTGTTTCTCATCTGGGAACTGTGAAAATGAAGCCAGGGTAAATCCACATTCCTCTGTATAAGACCTTTAGTTCTTTTGGTTTAGAGCCACAGACAGAAAGAGAATGTGTTCTCTTTTCTCTCCTACCACAGTCAGCAAGCCATGCCTTTGTAACAAATGAGAGAGCGCTGCAATTAATTTAACAATTCTTTTCTTGGATTCTGTTTGAGTTTCACTTTTATCCATGGCTTATAAATTATTATATGGATTAATTGTTACTGATTACACTACTGTTTCTCTTCTCTTTGCAACTACAACAGCTTTGTGCCTCCTACCTACTTTCATTCACTGCATTAAAGACAATTCCACACTGTATTTTTTCTAGTTGTCTTTTCTTGGACAAGAAAAGTTTTACAAGGTAGAATTTGTATTGAACAAGGAAGGTTTTACAAGGTAGAATTTAGATATCCACTAATCTCTGCCATCTTTAATCAGATAAGAGTGGTTTTTTTGTTTAATCTCAGAGCAGTCTGTACTGAGATATATCTGTTTCAGCATTTGGTATTGAATAAGCAGGAGGAAGGGTTTCCAGAGGAAAAAAGTAATTAGTATCAGCATTTTTTTATTGCAAAAGTTTAGGAGAGGAGTTGAGCAGTTGGCTCATAAAGACTACAAATATTTTCCAAAATATACTTCAATATATATTTTTAAAAAACTTTTGTATAAATTCAATATTCATAGAGGTTTTCAATTAAGTAGATGAGCTTCCCACTTTGCTACAGTATGTAGCTATAGATGTGAAATGACTGGACTGATGAATGATTAAGTAAATAAACACATACATATGGTATGGTATCGGTATACTGGACAAGGCTGAAAATTTTTCAGATTCTAATTTGAAAAGAAAATTCATTTCTCCTTAAGAAAGGAATTAGTGGGTAAATTTTTTTGAAAAGCCTTGTATGAAGTAAGATTTCTGGTAAAATTGTTTATGGACCTTATTCTATTGAACTGGATTCTATTGTGCATATTTTACAGTCAGCTTCCTTTGTGCTTATCTAACCTTGAATTAATGACATACTCAATACAATAATTCAATGACATCATTCTAATTTATGGCAGCTTACACCTATGAAAACAGGCTCTCCTGCTAAGAACAGTAAGAACTCAGCAGATGTCTTTAAATCCACATGTTCCTGTACTCTGGGCTGCACAGTTTGTTACTGGGAACTATGCCTAAAAGGCCAGAGTTTCTCAGAGAGAGTTTGGGTTGGATCTTTACATCTTTAGTTTCTTAATTGAACTGTGCCAGAATGTGGGCTGCTTGCAATTTCATTTGGCTTAAGCTCATCCAATCTAAACTGTCTGCAGAAGCAGGGTGCCAGTCCTTTCATTGGTTTTCAATTCCAGATTCAAGCCAAGTCTGAGCTCAGCATATGAGCAATGGGATCAGTCAGGGAGTATGAACCTGAGATGTCTAAGCCTGAGCTTGAAGTTGACAGTCTGGGTGTAATGTTGCTATTTTCCTCAGAAAGCTGGAGTGGGACAGAAAACAACAAATTTCTTGCACACACTTAAATTAGAGCCATCACTGATTAGATTATAGAACCAAAAGTAAAATGCTGAAGATGCATGCAGAACTGAAACTTTCTGGAACTGCAGAAGACAGTAGAAGGCAGTTGATACATGACTTCAACCTATATTCAGACTTGGAACTTTATATTTGACAGTGACTGGTTGCAAAGTGAGTGTTTCTTGCAATAATTCAAAGTCAGTTCCTGCTAAGTAAGATAGCTATGAATCTAAAGTTCAGAAATACTGAGGATTCTGCAATGTGAATAGAAGCAGACTTCAATCAACAGAGAGTAAGACTGGAAAACGAAGACAGCTGCTGACTAAATATGTCAACCTATCCAAAACAGAAAAGATCTGGAGGAACATCCCCATCCCAAAATTCTTCACTGTAGAGCAAAGCCCGAAGTAGGAAATGGATAATCTTGTTGCACTGGGATTTGAAAAAAATCAGATATATCATTGGTTACAGCAGTGGATAAGCAAATAATCCTCTATTTATGAATAGAATTATAGTATTTTCACACTTTCTATTAGGGGCAAAATATTAGAGGATAATATTGACTACAAGCTTTTTTCTATTTTGGATGTGTCATTAGAATTTGACAAGCTTCCCCAGGAGGGCAGTATACATGTTTGTGCTCGGGCAGTGCTCCCTTTGGTGAGTAACTTTCCCAGCAAGTTATCATGGTATTGTATTGTACTTTTTTCTTAAGAGGTTGTGTAGGAAAAAATAGGGAAAAAAAGACAGCAGAATTTGATGGTAGTAGTCAGAAGCTCTGGTCAGCTTGGGAAAGAGCATCCCAACTACAGATAAAGAAACAATAATTTGAATCCGGTCCAGTGGAAGTTGTCTATTCAGGAGGAATGAGCAAGCAGTACATTTAGACTGGGAAAACAGTCTAGATGCACCATAAGAAATAAAATTTAATTTTGAGCTAGTTAGGCAAAGTGATGCTTGATTCTCCTACCCCACCTAAGCATGCTACTGGTCAAAGAAGATATTTTTACAGGTTATAGGATGCAAGACTTGATAAAAAGGATTCTTGCTCATGAGCTGGTGGGGCTCATCGAGAGGTCTTTAAACTGGGTTTGAGGGGGGAAAGGGATAAAACTAGGCTCAACACAGATGAGCCCAGGGGCAGTATGCCAATGTTAGGGGTGAAATCTATAGCCCAGCTCAAGTGCATCTACACCAATGTATGCAGCATGGGCATGAAGCAGGAGGAGCTGGAAGCCATTGTGCAGCAGGGTAGCTGTGACATAGTCACAATCACAGAAATGTGGTGAGATGACTCTCATAACTGGGGTGCTGCAATGGATGGCTATGAGCACTTCAGGAGGAATAGGCAAGGAAGGAGGGGTGGTGAGGTTGCTCTCTATGTTAGGGAGTATTTTGATTGTATTGAGCTTGAAGTCTGTGATGATGAAGACAAGTGTTTATGGGTAAGAATGAAGGGGAAGGCCAACAATGCAGATATCCTGCCGGGAGTCTGTTATAGACCACGCAACCAGAACGTAGAAGCAGATGAAGCATTCTACAGGTGGCTGGCAGAAGTCCCACAATCTCTAGCTCTTGTTCTGATGGGGGACTTCGACTTACTGGACATCTGCTGGAAATACGATACAGCAGAGAGAAAACAGTCTAGGAGGTTCCAGGAGTGTGTTCCTGACACAGCTGATAAGTGAGCCCACCAGGGGAGGTGCCTCACTTAACCTACTGTTTACCAACAGAGAAAGACTGGTGGGAGATGTGGTGGTCACAGTCCATCTTGGGCTAAGTGACCATGAAATGGTAAAGCTCTCAATTATTGGTGAAATAAGAAGGGGGACTAGCAAGACCACTACCATGGACTTCCAGAGGGCAAACTTTGGCCTGTTCAGGACACTGGTTGAGAGAGTCCCTTGGGAGACAGTCCTGAAGGGCAAAGGGGATCCAGGAAGCCTGGACATTATTCAAGAAGGAAGTCTTAAAGATGCAGGAGCAGACTATCCCCGTGTGCCACAAGAAAAAACAGTGGGGAAGATGACCAGCCTGGCTGAACAGGGAGCTCTTGCTGGGACTCAGGAAAAAAACGAGATTTTACCATCTCTGGAAGAAGGGGCAGGCAAGTCAAGAAGAGTACAGGGATCTCATTAGGTTTTGCAGAGAGAAAATTAGAAAGGCAAAAGCCCAGAGAGAACTCAGTCTGGCCACTGTTGTTAGAGATAACAAAAAGTGTTTTCACAAA